AGCACACAATTACTATCTGAAGTGGTGTCATTAGTCATACTGCGGCGTCACATCGGAATTTCAGGCAATACAAGACACGCAGCTCTGGGAGCAATCAGATTTTTTAGACCAACTAATTGCGACTGAGCAAGTTCTGCAAGTAGGCAACAATCATGTTGCAGCTCTGAAACAGGCCTGCCTTTATCAAAACAATTCACCTTGATGTATTCATCAACAGAACGAAACCTGTATCTCTGAATACAAAAAGGTCGAATAAAACCTGAGGGTTTGACCACAGTCATGAAAATATTGTTTGGTACCTTATTAAATGCAGCTGAAATCATTAGCTGATTGATCAATTAGTCCATTGGCAAAAAACGTATAGATTACTGTATTGAATATGTTTTCTTTCTCTTGTGTGATAGTAAACTGAATATATTTGGGCTTTGGTCTGTTGGTTGGACAAAAGCAAGCAATTGTTAGTTGCAATATGAAACTTCTAATATTTGAACTGGAAGGATTTGTCAATTATTTAATTATTCAGCTGACAAAAAAGTAGCCTATTCTGCAGCTTTTATTTTCAAATATTCATTTTAAATCAATTTATTAAGCAAAAATGCAAAACATTCACTCCTTGTAGCTTCTATAATATGAATATGTTCAGTTTTTCCTTGTCTTATGTAATAGTAAACTGATTATCTGTTGGTTTTGGATTGCTTGGACATTTTATAGACTAAACTATAAATCGATAAATTGATGTGGAAATGGCAGATTAATGGATAATGAAAATAACTGTTAATTGTAGCCCTAATATCAAACACTTTATTACTAAGGAGACAGTTAGTTGATTAGTTGACAGACAGAAAAGTTATCGGCAAATACTTAAAAATCGATTTTTAAAATTCTTTGTGTTACATGATAATGAATTGAATATCCGTGAGATATAAAGTAGGCTTGAATTTCAATTCGTGAGGGGCATTTTTCACTAGCCTGTTTCCTGACAAATAAAAGATTTGATGAACTGGGAAAAGACTGAATTGACAATGAAAATTGTTTCCATGAATGCTACAAATAAATGGCGTTTAGGTTCTTGTATAAGCAAATAAAAACGCAGGCATTGTTTTGCGCGCGCTTATTAAATTTGTCAGAAGAGCGCGCGTTGCTTGCTTCTGTGCATAACTTCAATTTGCCTCAGTTGAAAAAAAGAACAATAAACATGTCTCACAAAGCTTCCCTTTCAGTGCGTCCTGCTCCTCTCCACTGACATCAGGACATCATGCGCACTTATGAGGAACACTTCTCCATGTGGCCCTACCTCTGACCGGCATCACTGCCAAAAGGGTCCGAGCTCCAAGTGGCCACGGACGAACTGATCCAGGTTGGGATGATGATCTTCGGATCCATTGTCCATTGACACCTGTTGCTGCGTCGTGCAGTCAGTCTTAGTTCCTACAGTATACGATTCTTATACCAACACGCCTCCCCGCAGCTCTAAAATAACTCAAGCACTAACTGTGTCGGGAGATGTATTTTTGAGCTTTGTCAGGAAAAAAAACAAAACACGCCGATTGCAACAAACTATATTAAAAAATAATTCACAGACAAAGCAGTGTTTGTTAAATAATTTATTTTGAGTAATATTTTTAGAAATATATACAGTCTCTCTTTCTCTCTCATGCCTGTTGCCATAGCAACGTTGCTACGACTGGAATAACCCTAGCTGATGCTGTTGCAGGCAGCATGGTCCTCTCCTGCACTGCAGCTAATGAAAAAGCTGTAAACATTCACTCTGACACACTGCAGTTGGCATCAGGCTTCATGGGCATGTCAGTATTTACAGGGTCTCCAACGTGTCATCGGAAGCTCCCATGACTTCCAGGATGCAAAGCCCAAATGCTTGTGTCATTTTTCTGTTTTTCTGTTTTTGCTCTTATGTCAGGAGAAATTAACAAGAGGAGGCTGTCGGGCTCTCTCTGCTCTGCTGATGTGGAGGTTTTGGCATCATGAGGGACAGACAACAGGAACAGAAAGATCGATGCTTTTCCATTTGGATTTGAAATTGCAGACAAGAAATTTAAGAACAATGTAGCAGGCTCTGCTCTCTCTCTTTGTCTGTCTCACTCTCTCTTCTGTGTCCCTCCCACCTTTTTGTCTTCTCTTAATTTGAAGAGTCTGAAGTAGTAATTTATAGATGACCTCCTCCATGAGTCAGTGCTTTTGAAAATACCGGAAGAGGCCACTCCAATTGAACCACCTCCGCCCACACTATAACTGTTGTGCCACTCAGTGTGGCTTTCCATGCTTACATGAGGAGACCCCTATATGCCATCATTCCTGCCTGTAAATTATGTGACATTTTACATCTATACATTGCTAAATATAGCTGAAAGACGTCACTTAGGTGGGAATAATGAAGACATTTAAAATAGAAAACATTTGATAAACAGTTAATTGAAAAAAAAAAAAGAGTGGAACAGATGAAAGGAGAAAGCGGTCAGAGAGAAAGACTGCAGCACTTCATATAAGGCTAATACTTTGACAGTATAGTGTGTGTATATGCTTTTATATGTTTCTTCTCATGCATGCCTGCCTTTGAGAAAATAAACCTTTGAGTGATGGATGATCCCTGGGCAGATGTGACCAGTGACATTTAGGAGTTCACAGACTGAACACAAGCCTGGAAGCTGACCACTAAAAACCTAACCTGAGGCATCACTCACCTCCAGCAACACTATCTACCCCGAAACAGAATCAGGATTCATTTGCAGGGAAAGAACAGAAAAATTATAATAACTGTCTAAATAGGAGCCGAAAATGTAGACAGCTTTATGGAGGTCATATGGAGAAAGGTCACATTTGACTGAAAGGATTGGCAGAGCTTGTTGTTTTTCCTCGTCAAATAGATGTCAAACATTACAAACAGCACTGCGGTCTCAAAGGTTTACTGCTGCTGTAATCACATCTAAAATTACATTTGATCATCACTCTCCTGAGTTCCATCTGGCAGAACCCCAGATTACATACTGAATAAATATCTTTAAGAAACGCAAATATGAGCGGATAACTAACTGCTGTAGATTGTTCAATTCCAACACTCTTCAAAACCATTGCAATAACAGAAAAGAGGACATGTGTTTTGCTTTTTCAAGCTATTTTGGACTCTTTGTTTTAGACTTGAGAAGCAGAAGCTATCAAAATCCTTGCTATATCACTGTGTCGAATCTCAGGACAAAAACAAATGAAGCAGATCTCAGAAAAACAGACTGCTACTGATCTTGTCTATGAAGCCCAGAGGCTGCAGCAGAATGCAGAACTGAAGGTACAAGAGGAGAATGTGTGGATGAGGAAAGGTAGATAACAGAGGGACTGATGGTGAGATCTCATTTCAAATTCTTATTGTGAATTGGGTCACAGTGTTGAAAACATGTTTCAAGTCCAACTTTTTCGAGTTTCAAATAAATTCTTAGGAGAATGTGTCAAACACACACACATACACACGCTTCACAACTTCTGCTCAACAACCAGAGTGATTCAAAAACACTCCTCTTTTTCAGCACCATGGACAGCACCCCAACTCTGTCATGTTTCTGCTTCATTTCCTCTTTCAAGGCTGACAAAATCCAAAGCACAAACACCACTTACACCGTATAACAGGGTTAGATGACACTTGGGTATGTTGTTGTGTATGCTCAGACTGTAGGGGATAGACAAGGTAAACACTCCATGCACAATAACTGATGTAACACTAAAACAACTACAAACACTGCCTCAAAGGGGGGTCAACGCTAATTCAAAGATTAGCATTCAACCCCAAGTAATCAGCACATTTTGAAAAGTGAAAGCAATACACCACTGGTCAAAATAAAAGTGAGGAAAGAGGTCTGAAAAATCTTTCATTAAGTCTTATAGAACTGCAACCAACAATGATTTTTATTACTGATGAACCGTTTTGGTCTACAGTGAAATAGTGAAAAAATTACCACAATTTCAAAGATCACGAGGGGATGTCTTTAAATGTCTTGTTTTGAAAAACCAACAGTCCAAAAGCCAAAATGTAATTTCAGAGAACCATAGAAGATGTGCTATGACAGTGTAGAAGTAGTGAATCTTGGCATTTTTGTTTTTAAAGTTACTTTAACAATTAATCTATTATTAAAGTAGTTACCGATAAATATTCTGTTGATCAATCAGTGATTCCCAATCACGGCTACTCGTAAGGTACTTCTACAGTTGCTTGGGAATGCAAGGAAAGAAAACACATTCTCACTCCCAACCCATCATATGGACACTTGGTCAAGACCCTATGGTGTCACTTGCTAATGCCCTGGGTACCCCTTTAGCATCATTTTTGGACGTGTATGATCAGATCAGCGGTCAAGTTATATGCAATGTCCGGTTAGACTTTTAAAATAAAACCAGTGTTTAATGTTGTGAAACGTCGAAATTTGATTAGGTTCAGGCACCAACACTACTTTGGTTAGGTTTAGGAAAGCATCATGGTTTGGGTTAAAAATAACTACATTACTTATGTGACTTAGCTTAAGTAACGCTTAACTTAACTTTTTGTTTCACATGGGAAACGAACACTGGTCTAGTGGGCGAAAGTCTGGTATCTGGCCCACCCCTCAACCCATTAACAGATCCACCCGTCCTAACGCTACAGGGTTTCCCCCAGTGCATTAAACTATGATGCTAAGGGGCTTCCAGCATTACAAACTGACGCCAATGGGTCTTGGCCATGCATCAATTTGTGAAACTTGGGATTGAGAACAGTTTGGGAAAGAATGTGATTGGTGGTATCTCTCAAAACAAGGACTAACAGATTTATTGACTAATCGAGTTTCATCTTTAAAGTGTTAACTGAATTGTCTGTATCTGAAAGTCAAAATCTGCTATGTTTCTCACAATTTTATACTTTTGACCATCACCAAAAATCAACAACTTCTTATGGGTTAATGTGTCTATGTAAAACAACACTGCTCAACCTTATTTCTGAGAGTTACAGTTTCTCTGCTGCCTACCTGTCATCATTCTGGAAGCTCTGGTCCCCGAGCAGCAGGTCTCTGAAGCGGAAGCGGGGCGGCAGCGGAGGCACCTCACTCTCCAGCTGCTCCATCTTAAGAGTGGAGATGTCTAAGATAACCCCACTGCTGCTGATGTTGGTCGGGAGTGGCCCTGGAGAGGCGCTGAAGGGAGAGGAGAAAAGTAAAGAAGCAGAAGGGAAATGAAGGGAGAAAGAGAGGAGAAGTGCACAAGTGGAGGGATTTGGAAGGGCAGGAAATGCTGAAAAGGAACAAGGAGCACAGGGAGAAGGAGAGGAAGCAAGGAAAGGAAACATGGAATGAAAATGTGCAGACTGATACATGCAGAAAAGCATGGTTTCGAGAAAATGGGAAAGAAAAAAGATTCTGTCACAAACTGGTACTTCACCACACTCCAGAAAATTCTTCACACTCAGCTTTGGTGATTACATTTAATTACCCTCTTTCACTGTCTGTTTGCAGATTGTTCAGTAATATGACAATAGAATTAAACGCAGTTACTGTGGTTGTAAGCATTCATTTGTGACAATTTAAGCATAATGAGCAGACACAGACTGCTAAGGTACAGTTAGACTACAGTAGAGTAAACAGAGTCTGAACCCTGTTTCTTATGTCCACAACTTGATTTTATTGTTTTAACTCTTAACAGAAGCATAACTGTTCTTTAGACAAACACTGTATATATACAGGTATTTCTCTGATATGGAAAGAAACACTTTTTGTTTCTCATAATAAATCAGTTCTAGGTGCTAGAGAGAGTGAATGCCCACCACGTCTACTGTTTATTTTGGTCTGAAGTTTTCAACCACTGGTGGAAAGTAACTAAGTTAATTTACTCAAGTACTGTTTTTAAGAACATTTCTGAGCTACCAGCACTTTATTTAAGTGACCATTTTATGATATGATCACTTGAAGGAATGAGATTCATTAGAAACCCCAGGGTAAAGTGAATGGATTGATTTATACCCTAATATTTAGAGTACACTGCATGGATGGGTATTTTTAAAAGATTACAAGCTTCACTTGAACACCTTGCACATTAATTCCCTGGTTAAAACATCCCATTCCATTAAATATTTTTCATCGCTGGGGGATGGAAGAAATGTATTTTAGGATTCAAATGAATTTTCATTGGAGACGGGTGCTGTTTTTTAGTCTCTTTTAAACAGATGACTGAAGAAGCAGCTAAACTTCTACAATACAACGCGGGCAGAGTGTACAAAAGCCTTGAACCTCTCTTTCCTCCATCTTTACACCTTCCATCACTTTGTCTGTCTGTTTGCTAAGGTCCTCCATTAAGCTTGTCAAACTTATTGCATAATAGATGAAGGGCATATTTCCCATGTGGATTTTATGAAATCCATCCATCTAACTTAACCAAACAAAACCCAATGGCAAAGAGCCCCACTCAGATCTCATTAAGCACACTGGAGCACTGGTTTTGTTCTCTGGAGAATCAAGAGCCAAAGACATTAAGTGAGAAATTTTATGGTTAGATTGTTGAGCTCATCTGTAGGCTCTATCTTCTTTGGGACCTTTAACATACATTTTAAAACTATATAGTTTTTTAAAACACTTTTTTTTGTCACCAAGTGACACAAATGTCCCAAAGTAAACACACAAATGCAATGTCCAATACACTAAAACATTAATTAACGTGTTATTATTAGTTCTAGTTATGCAACCAAATTTACAGCAGATAATATCCAAGCTGTAATGGAGAAAGCTGAGACAGAGAGCAAGCCAGTGAACAGCTGAACAAACAACAGTGGTGACATGTAGACAATGTGTGGATGGAGCTTTGGGAAAACACTGATACAATCTAAAAAGCAGCATGTTTATATACGCACTGCACCACCGCTAACTGAATACAAAATATTAAAATTTCATCAAATATAAGGATTGTTGATACTTTTCACAGTTTTTATTCAAACAAACCCCTAATCTACAAAGCATGACAGTGATTGTGAACACTGTGCTACAACAGAAACGTGAAGGCTAATAATGCAAAAGTTATTCATTATTAATCTCCACACATGACACTTCAAGTTTTTCCTTCACAACTTGATTCCTGTCTGTTTCTCTTACCGAGGTTTGTGGTCGTTCACGGTCCCATCATCGTTTACAAATGACTGGTTCTCGTAACATTCGCTGCACATTTTGGCCGAAGATCCGGCGCTGCCGTCGGCCTGGAGAGCTGCGGTTGTCGGCGTTGAGTCCCCCTTGACAAAGTCTTCTTCCTGGGTTAATTGCATCGGAGGGTGATCTGCCAAAAAGGAGCGGACTCCCGGAAAGAAAGACGCGCTCTTTTAAAAGCCCGGGTTATATCTACCCGCGGATGACCCCCCTCACCTATTCAGGTGCATCTTGGAGGTATGGAGGAGTTACTGTCAACCAACGCAGAAAAGAAGCTGCGAGCAAAGTGACAACTGGCTAATGAAGTCTTTCAAGAATCAGACTGAAAGATGCAAGTGAAATAATTTGGGTGTCGAAAAAATCGTGTGAGTGGAAATATTCTGTGTGATGCAGAGGACACGTCTGCAGCAGTGAACATGACAGCTTTCCTTCCTGAGGTAGCGGTACACCTAATGACATAACTGGTGAATTATCACCCAACTCTTGATGAGTAGAGAGAGATTAGCGCCATCTGTCGGAGGCTGCGGGTCTCTTAAGTTTTCCAGAAGGTAAAAGTGACGTTTAAATGGGAACATTGACATTTAGACAAAGACTTTGCACAATAGAATCATAATGGCTACAGAGCTGAGTCAACACTGTGACATAAAGGAGAAAAAACATATATAATTACCAGATTCAAAAGGTTTTTATTTCTCATAGCAGTACTGGATTAAATTGTACAAGTGTTATTTTTATTGTGAACTAAGTAGGCCTATGTCAATGTCCTCAGCAGTGTTGGGCAGTAACGCTTCATTAGTAGCAAGAGTACCAGATTGCTTACTGTAATAATATTAGGCTAGTTTCCCCAGTAACTAAGTAGCCTAGTGTAACTAATTAATTTTCTAAAACAGTAATATTATTACTAGTTACTAATGCAAGTAACACTGCGTTACTCGTTACTGAACGCACCATCCTTGACATGAATCGACGACTTTGTTGTTCATGTCTGCTGATAGCCAAACACTAAAGGAAGAATGGACATTTTTGATTATATTTGATCGAGGTGCTGTATTGAGGAGCATATATTCGTGCAGCACCTCGTTGCTTGCTCACTCCCTCTTTCTCTCTCTCTCGTGAACACCGCTAATAACTAAAGTAATATTACTTTTTTAAGGAGTAATAAGTAACTAGTAATATATTACAATTTCTGAGTAACTTTCCCAACACTGGTCCTCAGGTAATTTAAGTAAAAGTAACAGTTACAATTAGAAGTAGAAGCAGAAGGCCTGCCTTCAAAATCCTACTTAAAAGTACAGGAGTAGCTATTATCAGCAAAATGTACATAAAGTAGACCTACTCATTCTGCAGAATATCCCTGTGACTGATATTTAATCATATATGATATATCAAGGCGTAAGTACTATTTTATTGTTGTATAATTTCACCTCTTTGGGCCACGAAGACTCCTTTAAATGAAACCATTTGTGAAGTTTAGACAATAAATAGACATCTGAAATGTGACCAGGAGCCCTAAAATATGTGCTATTTTTCTTTGAGAAATCTATAATGCATTGTATTATATAATATTATTATGTTTGTTTTCATGTAAAATCTGAATCTGAAAAGAAATCTCTCAAATAAATGTAGTCATGTAGAAAGTATAATACTTGCCTCTGAACTGTTGTGGAGTAGAAGTAAAAAGTACCTCAAAATTGTTTGCACTTAATTACTTTCCATCCCTGCACTTAGACTTCGCACAAGAAACATTTTCAGCTTAATATACAGAATGAAATAATATGATAAATACATACACAAAAATGTCAGTTTGCCTACAATTCACATGTGATGTGTTATTTTTAAGCCTTTGTGTGGACCAGAACAGTAGTTTTTACATGGGTTGGAGATATATTTACTAAAGTGTTCTGTACCACTTGGCATTACAAGACAGCAACAACAACCAAGATGATCGCATGGCAAATCAAAATGTGTGGATCCCCAAATTCAAAAATTTATATTTCTTTACATAACAGAAATGTCTTCGCATGAAGGATACAGGGTACTCTGTCTTAGCTGCTGTGCATATTTATAATTCTTAAACTGATTTTTTCAAATATGCCTTAAGAAATCCAATGGCTTGATGATGAGTAATAAGTAAAATCTGAAAATCCCACATTTCCTTCCACCTTGTGCCTGCTGTCAGTGATTCTCAGGTGTGTTGAGCTCAAGCAGCAGATCATCCCACCTTTCACAAAGAGTAAAACCCAGGAGGCGTCTCATAGTCTGACAGACAGCAGGGGATGTTACAGAGGCCAGCAGCATCACGGGGATTAACAGGCAGCTCTTGGTATAAGAGTTTATGCTTACAGTTCATATTGTGGAATACCAAAGAGGACTGAGATTGGTAAATATAAAGCATCACAAAGAAGAATCCTATCACAAACCGGGTTTTTAAAAAATGTTTTGTAACATGATATGGCTTCCAGTATTTGTTGTAATTTTATCCTTTAGGATAACACTAAAACTCAACATCAGTGATGAAAATCATAAAAGGTAACGAAAAGGAGGAGAAGCTAAATGACTTACACTCACAGAAGTGCCAGAAGAAGAAATGAAAATAAAATGTAAAGAGAAAAGATTGCTTGACTGGATTTTCTATTATTATTTATTTCTTTGTTTATTTGATGACGCAAACTGGACCAAGTATGGAGGAGACGTGGGAGAGGTGATATGATTCACTGGGTTGACGGTCACATGAGGTTTAAGCTTATGATGGATGTTTGGGATTGAGTCAGTCACTCTGACTAAAGCGGGAAGTCTTTTTTACTGGAGATAAGTCACACCTGTGAGATTATCCCACCTGGGGAGATCTGCAGGTGGGTTATGATAAAATAACTCCAGAAAGCCTAAACTCTTCACAAGAAAATGGTGTTTATGATATAGAAAATACCATAATAAGGTGGTGAACCGTCTGCCTGACGGTTCACCACCTAGTATTGATCAGATTTTTCATCTAGACACCATGAGGTTGACAATTTTGTTTTTAAGGAAATATTTTTGACAACTATTTGATGGATTGCCATATATCACAACACATTCAGACATTCTTAGTTCCCAGAGGATAAATGTTAATGAGTTTAGTGTGACTATGACTTTTCCTCTAGCACCAACAACCATGATATATAGTAAAAAGCTTTTTTATTGATAAGGATTTTGAATGTAATATTTTTTACTTGTCATGGATTTTTAGTGTGGGTTTCCCACTATTACTTAAGTAAAGAATTGGCGTACTTCTAAGAATTAATAATGTGAAACTGGATTTCAGTAATTTGCCTGACTGCTGATAGACTGCGTGTCTAAGGGAGGCAGAGTTGAACTGTCGCCCTCTAGTGGAGACAAAGAAATTCAGTTGAATCTCAAACCCAGTCCAACACTTGATAGCCAACTATAGGTCTTGTATCTTCGTATCACTTACTTTATACACAGCAGTATATGACACAAATACATTAAATAATCGTCTCACATGTTGGGTTAAATCTGAAAATGATTTTTTTTAAAGTGATGGCCAATTAGTCATATTTCTCCTTAAATGAGTTGTTAATGAAGTTTAACCAATCAAGTCAAACCCACTGGATGTGTGGGTTTAATGCTCAATGGTTTAGCAGAATCAAAATTTAAGAACAGGACATAACTAAGCTTTTCAATGTGAAGCTGCTGATCAAGACACGTGCAGTACTGCTTCCATCCAGTTTCAGATTAATGGTTTGTCTGTTCAGAGAAACTGGAAACTCCTTGTCCCCTCTGAGAAATTAATGAAAAGCCTCACATTGATAATACCCCCTCATATATTAACAGATCCAATGAGGTCCAATTTATTGTCACAAGATATAAAACCATCTGACATAGATGTGTGAGACTAGAGTGGAAAAATATTTCTGCCTACTCTCCTAAAACATACCATTAAATTGACTTTACTTGGTGCTACAAAACATTTAATGGCTGTTTTAAAAAACCTTCAAGGTGTGTTTGAAATTTGAGAATCACATTTCTGGTTGTAATAATTACCCTTGTGCAAAATATGACAAGTAAACAAACACATCAGGTATCAGATTACGTCCTCTTTAATTGCAAAAAAAAAAAAAATTCTATATCAATTTTATTTAGTAAACAAAATATTTGACACAAAACAATGTAATCAATGTCTGAAGCATTCGAAAAGCATTTGATCAGCAGGATTGCATTTTTGGTTGCGCCCTGTTTGATTTGAAAGATACTGTATATGATGAAGGGAATTTGTGTTTATAAGCGCCTGGATGGTAAACATTTGAGGATAAGTTCTTTAATTATTGCTTAAGTAACTGGTAAACACTCTGAGAAGACCATGCTGACATTGTCATATGATGTGGAGATATAGTGACGTGAACAGGTATCCATCATCTTACAATGGCTACGTTTGATGTGTTTGTGTGTGGATTTTCACATCCTTCATGGAAGTTCATCTTGTCACAATAAATTTAACTGTTACTGGGATACTCCAGCGATTTTGTGTTTCTATAACGCTGGGTGACTTACAAGAGAAAACCAAAGCAGCGGATTCCAAGATATACCAATCTTAAATATCTAGTATGGGTCAAGCTTCAAAATCACTCACTCCTACATTTCCCATAATGCAACTCAATAGCGTCTTACGTTAGAACCTCCCTGTCTTCTAATTGCCCAAATCTTTCAAACTCCAAGCCCCCAGGTTGTAACGCTTTCTGTAAAGAAATGTGCAATCTCTAAGCCCAAACTGATATAACGTACATTTCAATACTTTACTTGATACTCTATTATATTTACTCCACAGGTGTGGTGACTAAATATGACAAAAACAAAGTCTAAAGTTTAAACAAAGTTTAAAGTCCTATCAGAAATGCCTGATAAATATAATGTGTTTAGATTGGCCTAAATTAACAGCAGCTGAGGTGTCAGGCAAAGCATGTAATTAAGACAAATTATTTGTTTTTAAATACTTTCAAAGTACTTAAACCTTCCTTTTCAGATTTTATGTTGTAGGTGTATAAGCATTTTTGTCAACTCATGTTTGAAAATTAAATAAGTTTTAACATCTTGTCCTGATTTGTAAGAACTATTTATGTATTTATCAGAAGAATTGTTTATGAAGGCAGTGAATAATGTGTTAACAATGAGTTTGATTACTCAGGCACTTACCAATTACTTAAGCATTAACCAGAAACCCATGAAGTGTACTGTTGTTGTTTGTTTGCATCAGTCTGCTCCTTCTGTACTGACTGAGGCCACAGCTGAAACATAGTACGCTCCCTCTCTGAGATACGTCTTCAGACGGATGTAATTCTGGCTGCCCAGAATCTCTGCTGCTGTCGATGAGCACACAATCGACCCCACCAGTTCAAACTTAGCGTCTTTGGCCTCCTTTGTCTGACCCGTTGAACGATCCAAAATGAACTCCATGAAACTGGGAGTGCTGATCATTAACTTCTGACCCCATGGCTGAGAAGCGATGGCCTGGAAAACACACACAACCAAATGTGATGATACAGATGTGACTGGAGCAATGTTGACGGCATTATGGTTTTGTGTAATGGTACAGACACCAAGACAAAATCTTCCAATATCTATAGCTCAACAGGTTTTCAAAAAAAGTCAGTAACACATGGAGGAAATAATGGTAGTTAGAAAGAGCTGAGCACTCACAGTAAATATCCGCAGAGCCCCACAATGCAGCTCTGGGAACGGCTGAGTGCTAATGTTGCAAATCATGTCCATGGGCTGCTTAGACAAAAGGTGAAACCAGGACTCTGTGAGGGCCAAGAGGTCTTCTGTCTGATGCTCTGGCTGCAATGAAGCATTTTAGAGTGATGATGTGATCAACGTTTGTTTTGTAGATGTCATTTAAAAACATAAAAAAAGAAGTATGGCTATGAATATACTTTTGCATGTGCACACACATACCTGTAGAGTGAGAAGTTGTGATATGGCGTCTAAGCTGCGCACTCTGAGCTCTGTAGCGCCTGAGCTGGCAAGCTGGCTCATTCTCAACAACACAGCTTTGAACTTTTCACCTGAAGACACACAGAGAATCTCACAAAGATCTCAAGACATCAGCTAGAATTACAATAATGTAAACATTCTCCATTTCTCTTTTGGGATCTTTGGCTTTTATTAAATAAAGCCTGGGAGAAAGATAACAAGCTAACCTGTTTTCTGAAGGACCTGCTTCCCTTCCACAGTAGACCCAAGTAATCCCAAAGTGTCCAGAGCCACGCCGATCATCACAGGGTCTGGGTCCAGAGCCATCTCAAACACTTTGTTCTGGAAAACCGGGTATGCTTCACAAACCTGCTGTGGGCTGTCCATAATGGCCAGGTTTCCAAAGAACTTCACCAAACCTACGGGAGTAAAATTCAAACAGTAAAGAACTGAATAATGCAGCATTGAATTGTTGTATTAAATAAAGGAATACTCCATCTAAACATAATAATGTTCCCTTTTACATCTGAAATGATTTGCTCCCATAATAGAAGAAAATAGTCTGACACATCTGCCTATGATTTAACAGGAAAACAAACAAAAAACATAAAAAAAGGAGCCAGTAACTTAAGTAACTGCTGTATTTCTGGGTTTTTTTGGAGCAGTTTTCTCAAGAGACTCACCAGGAAGGTAGAGAGAAGAGAGCGAGTCAGTCTCTGCTCCTCTGATCATGTTGGAGATCTTGTCCATTATACCCTGCTGGGCCAAATACTGTCGGCCATGCTGACTGTGGGCTAGAGTGGTCACCATCTCAATGGCTGTGGCTCTGGAGGAAAAGGAAACAAGAGGAACAAATGTAGCATTGATAGAAATGTAAAGACACTCTCTGTACCTATGATATGATAAAACTTATTACCTGATCAACACATCGTCTCCTGTCAGTTCTCCAATCAGCTGAGAAATTAAGCTGCTATTGGCACAGTATCCAAGGGAAATGGGAGATACAGAAGAGATTTCCACCACCAGCTGCAAGCAGCAAGAAAACTTTATTAGGGAAATCAATACAAGAGCTATTTTATGTGCGCTTATATGCAGTATAAACTTGAAATAAACTTTAGTTTATTAATTTAGTTGCTTCTATGTACATGGTTACAAGTTCATCTGTAACGAATTGAAGCTTTAATATAACTGAATCTAAGTGCCCACACATTCTGGCAGAACTTACTGTTATGATTAGTCATCTTTTCCTCTGATTCCATCCAAATAAAAACTTGTATATCACAAAAAAATTTGCTACTTCTGCATCATCAGCCACAAAGTAACCCAAAGTGACACACAGTTGAGCTTACCTCATATATCCTGTATCTGACAATGTCACTTGTGTTCATCACATCCTTCATAACTTTCAGCAGGTCGCTCTGGAACAATGTGTCTAACCCGGGCTTGGAGTGACTCAGTTTCGACAAGGACTGGATGGCCTAAGAAACACAACAATTATTGAACCCACTCTATATTAATTAAATACACAGGATATTTGCGTGCTTAGGTCTTCACCTGCTTTGCCACAGCAATTTTCTCTTCTCTGATGCAGTTGATCACCGCTCGAAGAATGTCATGGTTGTTGAGGATTTCAGTTGCAGCGTCAGGGTGCTCCACTATTCTTCCAATCTGAAAAACATAAAAACTTGACAAGGTCAGTGGTTTAAAGTCTGTGTATGTGCGTGTACTGTGTGCAAGCAGCCTACCTGTGTCAAGGCCAGTATTTTAACAGTTTCATTAGGATGGGTCAGACCCCCCTGTATCTCCACTCTGTAGTTCTGGGCCAGGGACACAGGGCTGAGGGCCATTAAGATGCATTTCAGGATGTCCACACACAGCTCAACTTGCTCCCTGTGAACACAGCTCACATTAGTAAATATAAATGTGCAGTACAAGTGCAGTCAAGTTGGCATATTGAAATTGCTGTTTTGTCTGACACTTAAGCTCAGATATTCTCTCTACTGCCAAGGAAGCAGAAGAACAGTCAGAGATATAACAATTAATCAATTAGCAAAAGTCTGTGTGAGTGTTTGGACAGTGACATGTTTACATTGGTAGCCTCTATAATCCAGCACGCAAAACTTGAAATTAAGCAATGACTATGCAGTTAAACGGCTAATTTCACGGTGTTCACATCCATATTGAATAACGTAACATAGGATGTGTAACGTTAGCAAAAACATTTTCTGCTGCTGTACTGTACAAAACGAATTAATTTATTGGACTGTGTGTAAAAAGGGCAACGCTATGAGCTCTGTTGCCCTCAATATGAAAGTCAGCCATGTTATTTTCATTTTCAATCCAATAATAGAGGGCTATACGACGGAAACGTGTCCCTGCCCACACCTGCGTTGCACTGTTTAGTAGTAGTGTAGCCAGTTAGCTTGCTTACTAGAACGGGTAAACACAGCCTATTTAGCTAGTTAACCTTCCGGTATGTTTACCTACTGTTTGAGTAACTGTTTATGATACTAAAATCAAATACTGACAGCTGAATGACTCAGCAGTTCACACACCGCAGTTTGCTGAACAGTGTGAACGAGATGCATTGTGCCAAACCAACCTCTGATTTGAGTTTAACAGAGAGAATATCACATTAAAACGCTGTCCGCTCACAGAGTCTCTCAACGCGCTGAGAGGTATCGATAGTAGAGCTGTTTTTAAACTCTGTAGCTCTTCAATTGGATCTTCGACACCGGAGATTTCCTCCAGTAAACTCTCAATGGAAGCAGCCATGACTGTCAATGTTTGGGGAAACCAAACTATCGACTAACGACTCCGACAACTTCTTCTTCTCCGTCGTAATTAACGCGGTTGACATTCAACGTTATGGCGCTTTACTGCCACCTGCTGGGCGGAGTGGGAGCTTCCACTTGATTTATTTTTCTTTCAGCCTGTCCACTTCGGTCTAAAACACATTATAGTAAAACATAATTTACAATTCTTTACATCCACCACTCCCTATTTGTGTTAAAAATGACTTTCTTTTGTAAATATATAGTGGTAAAGTGGCGTTTTGTACTTTGAGTAAGGTTATTTTATATACCAAATAACATTACCCGAAGCTCATAAATATAATGTTTGTCATGGAGGGAAAACAAGTGCAAAATCAGCTCCCCATAACTATATGGTGGAACACCTATAATCTCAGAACATGCAGTTTGGGCTCTGCAGTGCTTCCAGATATTGTTCTGTTCATTAATGGGAACATGCATGCACTGGCTGGTGGCCAGTCATGGCAGCAATTTTACTGGCATTCCATTGATGCACCTGGATCGCTCCTCACAATCAATATCATCAATAATTGAACATCAACAATTGAACAATTTGAAAAGGACATCTTTTTTACAATTTAAATATAAACCTCTTCTCTCACAGTCTTTCAGGTGCATAGCCAGTGAATGTCTGTCATTTAAATCTTTAATTTAAAAGATAACTTTATCTTATAGTCTGAATATTATAGTGGATGTTTGACCTTCACTGTGCAAAATGATGTATGGGTTTGACACTAGAAGTTTTCACATTTATCTGCTGTAGGGGGAATGTTTCACTGTTACCTTAAATATGAGCTTGACATTTACAATGGTGATTTTGTACTGCAAAGCCAATCATAGTCCACTTTGCAACTAAGACAACTGTGATCTGGAAAGTCGAAGCCAACAGTGCACATACACTGAGAAGAGACTTCTCAGGGAAGTAGGAGACATCATGTGTCTAGTATTTAAACTTTTGAAATTAAAAATATTTGCATTTTGATAGATTCTGGATTTTTCAGTGTGAGAGAAGGAGTAGATGTCATTTTAAGAATTTCTATCAAGGTATTAGACATAAATCATTATTCAAAGTAGGGTATTTTTATATGCCATAAAACACATCTGGAGTGGCCCCTTAATGTCATTGTGGTATGGTTAAACTATTCCTTCTTGGTATCATTAATGTTGTATACATGATACAGGATACTCTCCTCTTGATGAAGCATGTGACTTGGGGTTGGGGTGCAGGGTTACATGCTGCTAGAGTTTCATGAAAGTGGAAACCCAGTCTGTCAGCAAGTAGTGTTGTATAACTGACAACAGCGGGAGGTCCTCTGGTCACATACAGCTAATACAGCTACTAAAAACAGATAAACAACAAGGCTGTCATGCAGGTACAGTGTTACTTCTTTGCAGCTTATATGAAATTTTAATTTAAGTGTGATTCGCTACCTTTATGATAATTCATACTCTGTTTTTTGATCTCATGCTCCAGTGCTCTCCCTGCAAACTGCGTACCCACCAGTGGTGTTTCCTCCTCTTCAATGTGCTACTCTTCCATGCCCTGTTGTTTGGGGCAGACTTTGTCGAGGAGTACCTCCTGCAGCCCACACCTGGGGTCTACACTGATGGCACGGTTGCTGATGTAAGAGAGAAAGCAAGGAAACTTGACCTGAGCAACGCCAGGGAGAATGTGTCCCATGCCTACCCCATTGCTAACCCTGATGCCTGCAGAAACTCGGACCTCTTCCTCCTCACTCTAGTCTTCAGCTCCACAGCTAATATCACCCAAAGAGATGCAGTCAGGAGGACATGGGCCAACCAAACATTCGTCCAAGGCTTCCCAGTGCGGATACTGTTCTTCTTAGGATCAACTCAGACTTCCGATGCACAAAAGGCCCTCATGATAGAGTCTGACCGATATGGGGACATGGTCCAGGGTCATGCTGTGACTGACTCATCCCTCCGTGGGCCAACAGAAAAGACAGTGCTGGCACTTCGCTGGGTGATCACCTTCTGTCCCATGGCACGCTTTGTTCTGCTGACCAAGGACTCTGTGTTTGTCAACCTCCCTGCCATCGGAGGCTACCTACTCGGGCTGCACAGGCACCCAGAGGATCTTTATCTAGGTAGGGTGATCCAGAGGGACTCCCCTGACAGGGACCCCAACAGTCCTGGCTACCTGCTCCCGGCTCTGTACCCTGACAAGTACCTGCCTGAATACTGTGATGGGACGAGTTATGTTCTGTCCCAGGATGTGGTCCGAAAAGTGTATGTAGTGTCTGCAGAAGTCCGGGCACCTTTGCCAGCTGATGTTTTTGTGGGCATTTGTGCTCAGAAGGCTGGTGTGGCACCTACCCACAGTGCCAGGTTCTCAGGGGAGAAACATATCCGCTACAACGCCTGCTGTTATCGCTATCTGTTTAGCTCAGCAGGAATGAGAAGCCATGAACTAGATATAGTGTGGGCAGACCTGGGACAGAGAGGTGGAAGATGCTCACTGTTAAAGACGTACTACGGCCTGGTGACCTGCAAGGCCCTCACATACCTGGATAAACTGTCCTTCTTCAACTCCCAGAGTCAAGCTGAATCACATGATTAATTGACAGAGTTTGTGATTAGTTCATGTGTGTGTGCTTGTGAGTGAAAGAGAAAAAGAGACTGACGGAAAGTGGGGTTTGAAGTATGCACCAGTGTTCACATTTCCCTGTCAATATGGTTGAAAGAAATCTGTGTTAATTTCTTCATACGACAGCTAAGATCACTATCATGACTAAAGGAAACATAAAACTTGGAACACTGTAATGTATATACACATTAACAGATTTTGAAAATAAAAGTACTGTGCAAATTTAACTTCTAATAGGACAGGAGCTCCAATAGATGACACATTTATTTTTACACCTAGAGTGAATATTACATCAGATTGTCAAAGTATATAAAATCAGTTGTTACATTTATTTCCAACAACATTGTCATTATCTAAATCGATGGCTTCAAATTGGGGTGCACAGAGCCAATGCAGAGGGGATCGACATGGCCAGAGAGATACAAATGTGAAGATAAACTAAAGCTGCATATACCATTTTTCACAGGTACACACTGAATGGAACAGAGCCCTTCTTAATGTTTTTAATTACACCTTTACTTGTCCTATCTGCTGTGAAAAGAGCCTTATGTCTTGCCCTCGATACACATGCAATATAACAAGCAGGTGAGTCAGAGAAATGACAATGACGCACAGTCTGCACATGCCCACACAGTCCTGAGGGGAGGTCTAATCAGGCAAAATAACTGAGAACAACAGTGTGGGTGGACGATTGGTGTCGAGACCCTTTAAAACACGGACAAAAAACATTTGGTACAATATGATTTCTGACATTTTAGTGCTTATTAAAAGCCACTTTTAGTTTAAACTGTCCCTGACAAATAAATTAAAATTGAATAAAAGTTGTCTATTATAAAGGTATTTATCATAAGAATCTGACCTGAGTCTGATACATTTGTGAATAAAATATTACAGAATCAATTTAGACTGGCGACCTGTCCAGGGTGTACCCCGCCTTTCGCCCGATGTCAGCTGGGATTGGCTCCAGCCACCCGCGACCCTGTACGAAGGATAAGCGGTTGACGATGGATGGATGGAGAATCAATTTATCTAAAGATATGGTCCCATTTATTTCATCTGATAGGTATGTGGTATTTCCTGTTTTCAGAGAAATTCTAATTTATTGTGGTAGTATTAGAAATAATAGATGATGACCAAAAAGGCAGTTTTGCACCAACCAACCTGATAGACTTTTAAGAAATGCTATTATTTGATGCAACAATGTCAATACCAGGAAGAGATCCAATTTGCAAAATACACCATACAAAGGGGGACATCTAGTGCTCAACATGAGGAAAAGCAATAAACTGCCTCTGCAACCAAGTGACATACGTATGCCTCAGTGTAGTTTTTCTTCAGCCTGTGAAAACTCACAGAAATGCTTTGCACTTCCAATGAACATTGTGTCTTCATCTGAAATCTTTTATTTCAAACCTAGGTATTTCTCATTTGGAAATGGGATCCACATATCCCCCTATAGAGTACTTCTGTCAATAATAAATAAACAGGGAAGAGTTACCGGAATCATCATGAATGATTTCAGCAATTTAAGTATTATATAAATGTGTTCCACCCTTATTTTAGAGGAGAAAGATTTGCATGAAAAGTGTGAGCACTGGTACTGCAGGAAATGAGTCTGTCTCACTTCCATGTTTGATTTCCAGCAATTTTATGTCCTTTAAATGCTGTCAAAACTACTGCTTCTTTTGCAAAATTCCACAAAAGGAAGGTTTGGCCTCTATCCCAGCAGCTGACCAAACAAAATGTTTGGGTGTTCTACAAACCTTTTCTCTTTTGTTTGACTGCCAAGGGTTCACACTGCAACTCTCTACTCCACCTTGGCCAGGTTCCATTGTGCCTGCAAAGCTTTCCCTGGCTGCCTGTCTCACCACATCAGGCCAAGGTATTCAAAGGATAACATCCCAGCATGTCTATAATCATTCTGGCTAGTGACCAGTCATAGCAAAATTTGACTGGCATACCATCAGTGTGAACACAGATCGCTCTCCAGGATTAATCTGGATTAATTAACGTCAACACCTTCCATCCATGGCCTCAGCACCACGTGATCTCTGCCCTCTCACCTCTCTACCTGGTCTCTCTGTCTGTCTATTCCAAACAAGTGGCCCCATGATGCTTTAGTTTTAGACGGCCGTCATTTTATGGTTGTTACTATCCCACATGTGGCATTTCCTGTGAAGCACCTGGATAGCAACAGGTTTTAACTGGGTACTCTATTGAGCACAAAGAAACTTATTTTTATATTTTTCAGGCTTTTATTAGACTGCTAATAGTTAGTAGAAACCATTAAGAAACACAGGGAAATCGTTAATACCCTTGTTTGCTTTCTTGCCAAGAGTTAAGCTAGTTTTTATTTTTTATGCCTTTATGCACAATGCAGTGCAACACTTTCAATAAGCAGCTATGCATCCTACAAACAGCTGAGTTTAAAAACAAAAATAGTATTAAAAATAAAGTGCACCTCTCTTTCACTGAATGAACTTTCCAAATCAAATGCACGTGCTGGCCAGATGAGGCAAAACCCCGTTTTGTCCGTAGGGGCCAAAAGTTCCTTGTAGTTGCATAAAACAAACGAGATATAACATATTAATTAGTGAGCTTTAGCTTTAGCTTTTTTAACCTAATAATAGAGTCAGCCCAGCTGTTTCTATGTTTTTTTTTTGCTATGTTAAGCTAACCATAAGCTTTATATTTAATGGTAAGATTTGAAAGTGGTATCTTCTTGTCAAATTCATGGCAAGAAAGTGGATAAGCATATTTTCCAAAAACTAGTGAACTCAAACTATTCCTTTAAGGTAAAGTCCATTACAGGGTTTAACTTGTGGCCTTATGTCCACACTTAAAAAAAATATACTTTACTCAGGACCAAAACCTAAAATATGTTTGTTTTCTTGCTACTGTGGAACTGAAAAAGTTGCCAAAAGCATTTGTAGAGTGCAGTTATTCTTTATACAAAGTTATCAAAAACTCTGTCAAGGTCTGGAAGGTTTTTCAACAGAAAGTGGAAACAGGGTCCGCAGAGTGGTAAAGCCATCAGACCCACCAAACCACATGTACACTTCAATACATGCACGCACACAAATATGTACACACACACCCATAACACAGCCTGCAGAGATTGTTAATGTGAGGTTGAGGGGTCGGTAAACTGCATGTGGGTGGCGCTCTAATGAATGCCTCCCCTCAGAGGGACGCATCTCTCTGCATCAAACCAGAGAAACACTGTTTTATTTGGGCTGTTTACACTGACAAAACAAGTCTGGGGCTCGATAGCCACTGATTTGAGGGGAGGGTCAGTGGGAGGTAATAGCTCAACTGATGAAAGAAGTAATTGTCTGTCACTTTAATTTTGTATGTTTTTGCACATATGTCATTTGTGAGAACATACGGTGTTTTTTTACATGTGAGCGTTCAATCCTAATAGATTTTGGTGAGTTTTCTGTTCAGATCAGAAGCTCAGTGTTCATGTGGCCCTACAGCCCACATTTACGTAGAAGCAGTAACCTCAAGGATAAACCCTCTTTTTTGATGACATCTGTGGTTTCTTCTCCTTTCCCTTTTTGTAAACTCCATAATCTTTCCTTTGAGGTTTTGGTAACTTTGCCAAGCCAGTACGGTTTTTGCTTCTCGTACAGTTGCTTTTGAGTTCTTGTGTTTTAATTATACATTCTATAGCTTTTGGCTGTTCTTACAGAAAGATTATTTTTTTTTGTCATCTGGATGAAATTAAGTGCATTAAATATAAATTTTTTCAGCACAGTTCTCTATGCAACAGGTCTGGGGATAAACAGCTCAAGGCTTCTCAAAGAACTAACCATGTCTATTAACAATTACGAAAGTTCCTATTTTGGATGACAGAAACATTATTGCACTAAACCTGCCATCTTGCTGAAAGATTATTCAGAATATCTGACTGTACAGGAAACAAAAAAAAAAGTATTCCCATTTTATTTATGCATTTAACATTGTGTGTTGTATCTTCTGTATTTATTTCTGGTGTAGAATACAAAATTAATTTCATAAATATTTTAATGCATTCTGTTTTTTGCTTACGACACAATCAAGTTTAGTCTAAACACGACTAAACTAGGAGGCTAAATGCTAGTATTAGCAAGCCAACAAGCTTACAACGACAACGCTAACATGACGATGCTAAAATGTTGACCTGATGATGTCGCTAAACGAAAGGTGAAGGCATCACCAAAATCACAAGGATTCATGTCTGTACAAAATGTTCAGTAGTTGGTGAGATATAAATTATGGACCAACTGACAGACAGCCTCTGCCATCCCCTGAGCCACAATGATAGCATGGCAGAATCAGACTTAAAAAATTTAAAGCAAAACAAACAACAACAAAAACATGTCAGATGTCGTATGTGCAACTGCAGAATCAAATCTGCTCTTCAAGTCGTTACACTTTCCTAGATTTCCAGAAATATTACCAAGGACATGACCTCTGTGTCCTCAATGTCCTTTCGTTTTTCTTACACTTCTGGCAGTTTCGCATGTGGTTGGCTTCTGCCAAGGTTTGGACATTTGTGGGCACTGGGCAGTACTAAATCCTCTGGTTATTGCTTCTGTTACTACTACAACCGTGGTTGTACTCCAGTGGGCTGGGCCTGTCAGTATACTGAGGCACTGACTGATTTATCATAGGGATCCTCAGTCACTGCTGTCAAGATCAGTGCTAGGTGGAGACTCACTCTGTAACAGAGCGTATCAGATCACATGTTATTAGAGGCTTCTACTGTATATTTTAATGCGCTCTGGTGCGGTATCTTCCCCTCTACTTTGTCTTGTATGCTCACTGCCAAATGATCAAGATATCTGCTAACACTCTAATGCTCCACTGTTTTCTTTCAGCCATTAACCCCTTTCCAGAAATGTTTGTGTTGTGCATTTCTTTCATAACCATTGATGTCTTTGCGGAGTTATTGGTCAGAGAGAGTAAGATACAAGGTAGATTTATACATTATTTTAGGGAAGAAGCTGCTCTGAAGTATAAAAATATACAGTGTATTTACAACAGCACATTTTTACACTAACACTATGCACAGTAAATATATAATATTCCTATATATTATTACAACCAACCCAATGAAATGAATTACATCAAACCCAAACATATGAAACAGCCATTAAAAAAACAAATAATAACAAATCTTAATTAATTTGCACATCTATTTTTCAGATTACGCTAAATAATACTTATTCAGGTTATATAA